AAGTTTTTGTTTATAATAAGTTGATTATCGATAAAACACGAATAAAATGACATTTTCTAAAAATGATTCCAAGCTAGATCGATTTATCGCCCCCGAAACCCCCTATATACTAAATTTTATGAAAATCGTTCGAATCGGCTCCATAATACATATATTATTGGAATATTCTTTCTATATATATATATATATATATATATATAGAAAGAATTGCTCATTTAAAGATATAAGATAAGATATCCCTTCGGAATTTCTTAAATATATGTTAAATTTATTGCCATTTTTGCGTAAGAGCTAATTGTCAAATGTGGAAAAATATCACATACAATTTACAATCAGTAAATATGATTGCGAAGTCATAACAATAATCTAATCAAAACTATCAGATGTTATTCAAACTGTTCAAAAATATAGGTAGTTTACAAATATATGTTGCAACAGTTGCCACCTTACAAATGATTTAAACGAGCTTCGTTTACAACTGTTTGACGACGCACCGACGACAAGTTCTAGGCTACGCGTCACTTGCGTCATTGCGTCACAACCGCGAACTTTACATATATACGAACCTACGTTTTAATAATCTATTATATGTGAGAATAATTTAAGGTACAATGCAATGCAACAATAATGTAACTCTATCAAAAACATAATGTTTCAATAATGTTATTATGTCTTTAATTTTTCTAATTACAACTATATAGGTTTTGTTAAATACAGGTGATGTTCGATAAAATGGCTCGATTTGTTGGACAAAGTGACTTTTTGAGTTCCCTATCATTGTTATAACGTATGTGGTTTGTGTAAACGTTTGAATATGTTAGCGTTGGTTAGATATTTAATTTCGATCATATGTAACGGGGCAAAAGGTATAACGACTGTATTGTCCATATGCAATGGCGAGTACAAAGGGAGCGAGTTCTAATCACAAGACATGGTTCATATGAGATCACAATGCAATGCGAGTACGACCGACGGCGTGTGATCGAGTGCTGGGCGCCGTCGAGCCCGCGTCTCTGGCTGCACCGCGAGTCTCTCCTATCGCTTTCACGTCGCGGTTATCGCTGCCACGATAATCTGCATAGTGCGAACCGTTATTGAAAGCCACGGTACTAGTTTGTGTGTGAAGGCTACAATAGCGGCATTTTAATCTGATATTTATTGACCGAGAGATAGAATGAGGCTACGCTGTGAGCTGACCTGAAATCTGGAGCTAATATGTGTAAATAATGACACGGTGACCGATGCGCCTCACGAGCGATACTCTCGCCGGGCCGCCCGCCACACCGCCACGGCAACAATGTGCACCGTACAGGTTCCGAATTGAGGTGAGCCGTTTGCTCCATTTTAAATTATAAGCTTTTAAGTCGGCACTATTGTTGCTATACTCGAAAGGTTTTAACATCGGCTTAAAACTTGAGCTTCAATACATTTAAAGTGTCTCATGTGAAAGCTCTTTTACTATACTCACTAGAGTCGAACACTTTAACCAACACCTCTAACCCAAAAGGGTAGACAGAGATGACGGATTTTCATTTAGCGTGGTCAATCTGGTGAAACTCTAAAAGCGAAGTGTCATAGGCGACTCCAACATTTCCATGTATCGATGTTATAAAAATAAATTGACAGTTAAAACATACAAAGGCCAGCAGTGGGCGTGGACTGGTGTTCGGCGGTGGGCCTCCGAAGAACGCGCCCATATCACGATCAATTTCGGCTTCGCACAGATTATCTCATGATCGGAGCAATTTCTCTCCGCTCTTGGTATTGATAAGATCTCAACAACAACGGTTCGCATCGTTCTGCATAATTATAATCCCAAGATAAAATTCATGAATTGCTTGCTTTAATATGAAAGATTAAACAGGCAAGTACAACGCAACAATATGTCCTTGTATAAATCATTAATTATATTTTGTTTTATTTAAATGTTAAGATATGAAAATATATTTCTTTTATGTCCATGTAATGTTTGGAATTGAACGGAGACAAAAATGTAGACAGCGGTGATATATGTATACATGTATAGATGTACTTGTTAGCATAGAATATGTACTATCTTTCAAATCTATTAGTTTTTTACTATCTATGAAACTAAAGAAACTCGTAAATTTCAGTTGAACCTTAACATAACCTTATATATAATACTACAGACATAATAGAGTTCAAAGTGAAATATAATAGTTTTATTGTTATAAATGTGGAGAAGTCGAGCGAAATAGAGAACAAACAACGCAATCAGAAACAATTTTCTATTAGTAAGTATTTCTCGTTGGACATATTCCGACAACAAACACGATCGTCCCGAGTGCCCGAGTGCCGTGGGAATGCCCCAGCCGAGTAACGGACGGACGGACAAATGATGTTGGCCGATCTATTGCCTGTAATTGATGACGACCATTGTACTGAGCTTTTGAAAGAGCCACGAATGTTTGTCTTCGTTCTGTTACCTTCTGTTTGTTTGTGCCATTGTTGATCGGCGATTCAGTACCTTAATCGGTGGGCCATTATCGAATAAAATGCTCGACTCGAAACATTTTGTTCCCATTCCATCACTAAGAGCGTACACTTCGTGATTGCAGGTGCCGTTAATTCACTTGACATTGCCAGTTCCTTGTCACTTGTATAGAAAGCTATGATGAATGAATTTATTTTTTTGTTCTAAACAACGGTTACAGTAAGTTATTTGTAAGGTTACTTCATTACGGTTAGAACATGTTAATTTTGTTTTTTAATGAACCCGTTTTAATTATTTAATTGTACATTAGTTCTTTCATTCGAAATGACTAGTTTAAAAGATAGAATATATATTGTAGACAATAAAACAATCATCAATTTTTCAGTTTCCGTACTGTACCTAGGGTCTGACGAATTTTGAATAAGCATTTTAGTCATAATTTTATAATGCGACACAGTTATTATGCAATAACAAATACATAATAAATATTGATTGAAAATGATTCAGTTTGTACAGTTAAAGAGTTATAAGCATTTTCGAATTTATTTCAATTAGCAGTTCGATTCTTATTTAGCGATACGATCTGTTTAAACGGAAAAGTTATAAGGTACGAAGCCCGGGGCCGAGTGGGCATCGGTCATTAATTCCGCCTCTGTAAATATTGCCTCCTTCTGCGATTGTTTTACAATTTACCGCATCTCCGCAGCCTCCTTCATTTTTTCCTTAACCAGAAACGTTTATCAATTTTAATTTTATTACGTAACTTTAAAAGTTTTTACGTACTTTTCATTTTCTATTCATTAAGTAGACATGCAGATGTGTTTAACGTATGAGATGTTTTCACATATAAATTAATTTGAGTACTTAATTATTAAATCTAAGTGACTAAAGAAATAAATGCAAAAGAAACTATTTTACAAAAAAAATCTAAAACTCAAACATAAGGGTGCAGTCTAATTAGTCGTTAGCGGCCGCATGCGCTGTGCAAAAACCGTTTTCATGAGTCGTTGGAGCCCGCACGCGTCCTTTCTTTACAGCGCATTGTAGCTTAATTAACTCACTTAAACTTACTTAAACTCTCACGACGCTTGCTTTACATCGACCGATTATTTTCATTAGTAGTAGCCCGTATACGGGAATTCCCTGCATTAAGTATAACAATCGAGTTATCAACTAATAAAATAGCGCCCTAAATCACAACAAATAGTAATAAGTAAACAGTAGAACGCAAAATAAATCGTTACAAGCGAATTGACAGCAAAGTTTTGTATAATAATTCAAATTCTTAGTCCACAATCAGGAAATCTACCTAGCAACCAATTTCAGAGGGCGCAACTTAGCTAAGATGGTATTACACGCCTTATTAGGAACGCCTTAGGGAACTACTGAACAGATTAGTAATTTATTAACAAGTTGCACAAAACCTGCTACTTTAACCGATCAACAGGTTTCTTCTTAAAATGGTTATGGTAGGCGAGTTGAGTGTTCTTTACGTGAAACATAAACATAAATTTTTCAGTATCTCCGTTTGTCTCCGAATTGGGCACGTGAAGCAAGCGTAAAAGGTTTAGATATTACTTAAAACATTTAGATAATTTTCAGCATATTCTAGAGATATGACGGATCCAAACATGAAGTATAGTATGTTAACTCGTTAAATTCCAATAAGTTTTTTTTTACCAGGATGAAAACGATGTGCGAGCCAGTTCCTGGATGTTGTAAAAGGTATAGACAATTTGTATGTTTTCACCTTATATTTCATTGTTTAGCGGTCGTATGTAAGTACCAAATTTACTCATTTATCCAGTTTGCATACCGTACTTTAACTTAATCAACTCAGTAATCCTTAGTATTCAACATGTAAATATTATTATTGGACTTAAAAATAGTTTAAAATCTTCATTACCATACACAAATGTAAAACCAAAACATTGATTAAAGATATAAAAGATGTCAGTAGACAGTAGGCGTGCTTAAGATTGTGATTAACATGTATGTAAAGGGCACGATTGCATAAAGATTGTGAGGATTAACGTAACAGGACATATCAATAATTCAGTTGTGCAGGAGGGACACGGGGGCGCGGGGGGCATGGAAGGGCGCGGGGGGCAGGGGAGGCACGGGAGGGCGCGGACGAAGTAGCGGCCGACCAATTTATCTGGACATCGCGGCCTATAATTACGGTAGTTACGCTCTCCGCTGATACAATTAAACTAGCGGTGCATTCGTGAAATCATAAATAATACTGATTACATCAACGGATCGTCGCCTTATTCGATATTACAATGCACATTTAAACTAACTCTGTACTCAAAAACAATTAAATACAATGCAATTTTTTTTTATTATATTGTATTTAATTGCGTAGTTTTTAATCAAATATCATAGAATAAATACTACATACGTTACGTGTTTCATTCCTGGATCGGGCCGAATATCATGTGAAACGATATCAATAAAACGACAAATATTTTATAATTATTTGTTTACTAAAACTTATTAATTAAAATTATATACATAATTATCACTTTGTTATCACGTTTTATTTTTTATTAATTTCAATTTAATTTATAGGCGCAATTAGGTCTTAAACTTTGTATTTAAGTAAAATTATTATTTCACATACGCTGAGATTATACGACGTCAATTACTTCGTTTAAGTTTTAGTGCTTAATTTTTTTAAAGTAAATTTTAATTAATAAAATATTTCAATTTAACCTTTATTACTCATTATTTAAATTATCATTGAAATTATGAAGTTTAGTAAATCATTATTTTGCTTAAATGAACAAATTATAAGTTAAAAAAAATTATACAACATGGCACCTTGAAAATGCTAAATTCATGATTCGATCTATTTGAGTATTAAGGAACTAAATATAAAAAACACGATCTTATAAAAATATCACTGATTTAGATCTATACAATTAATAAAAGAGGATTGACTGTGTGTAATATCGAAATCAAAATTCGCCAACATGATGTATTTACGTTGCTTATAAAGGAAATCCAACTATTAAAATGGTTATCTGGTCGTATGTCCGTCTGCTAATCCTCGTTTGTTCCGGTTAATCTCCGAGAACCAATTTTACAGGGATTTTAACTGGAAGGTAGCTTACGTGTGCGGAAATAACTTAAGCTATTTTTTTATTTTCACGCCAACGAAGTCGCGAGCAATCGCTAGTTTCACAATCAAATACTGCGTTTCAGAGGTCGGAAACTGTACAAAAACTGTTTACTAATTCCTATAGTTCTTCGTGTAGTGCCTTCTTTGTAGATGCTTCGATGAAATTCTTGAAATCCTTCCGCGACCTGACATGCGCCGCGCAAACCTCCACAAGCCTTAAGAACTCCACCACGTCGAAGGAATAGTTGGTGAATTTAGCGTGAGAAGCACCGCCCGGTCCATGACCCTGAAATTTATATTTAAATCACAAATTAACATAATAATACGCAGCAATTACCTTGGGCTTATTATATTAATATAGTAGCTGTTGTCCACGACACCGTCCGTGCCACATTAAATAAAATAGATAGAAGCCGATTATCAGACCAACTGAACATATATGCTTATAAAATTTCATAAAAATCGATCAAGCCGTTTGAAAGTATGGTAACTAACATTATGACACGATAATTTTATTTATAAAATTAATACAAGAATATATTTTTATCTCTCTCTATTACTTGGAAAAAACTGAAATATTTCCCCAGTCAAATGAAGCAGTAAATGTGGGTCCCCACTGTTGAAACACATGCATCCATCCCTTTCATTTAGTATGAATAAAATAGAACTAACAATATAGTAATATGGCTGTGTAATATCATGGTACCATACAACTGCTATTGGCAGTTTGACATACACAAAACATTGACCCAAATGATTAATAAAACAATAATTATATCATGTACACAAATTTATATACATTTAATGAATACCTTGTCTTGTTGTGTAAGTTTATTCTTCTTCTCCCAGGTTACATATTTAAGACCACGGAGTCTGGCTAAGTCCGAGTAACAGTTAGGATCCTCACAGTTGTATCTGGAATAATATAATGGAGCATGTTAAGTCTATACTAATGTATAAAGAACACATAACATATGGCCTAGTCATCCCAAGCTCAGGTGTGTTGGTAGAGCGAGAGAGATTATGATGACCTGATGAAATAGCTTATCATTTTGCTTTATAAATTTAACCAACCCAAAGGTTTTATCAGCAAGGTTAGGAATAACATTTATTTGATATTTCATTCAGATAAAAGATTCATGTAAGACATTCTCTATACTTTCTGTCTTATAATAGTGAATTAAGAAAAAAAACTTACACTTCAAACACAGCAGCCCAATCAGGTAAAAAGAGAAGATGAGTTAATCCAGCACCATGCATACCAATAAACACATCCGTATTATGCGTTATCTCTAACTGCTCAGTGAATGGTACTGTTCTGTCATACACTACCCGTTGCACATGGTAACCTTTCACTTTGACTAACGCTTCAACTATCTCCTTCTCATTAAGTATGGCTCTATATGTTGTTCCTCGAGACAGTAATGTAACCCTTATCTTATCATTGCTTCGGATTTGAGGTTTGATATCTAAAGAGTGCAATAAATGTTTAGAAAATGCATGGAACAAACCACTTCTTTCGCAACCATATATCTGAAACAAAAATCGATTTTAAATGTTAATTGAATTGAATGTAATAGTTAAATTTCTATCATCATCATCATTGGTTCACTATATGTCCCCACTCCTCGGTTCAGAGCCTACCCTAAGTTAAGGGTGATTAAATTTCTATTCATTTCCCAAATTAGGAATTCAAAAGAATTATCTGTATTATGTTTAGTATATCACAGCATACTTAATCAAGCAGTTAAGTAAAGCAAGACATTTTCACTATTAAATAATAAAATAATTTAAGTAAAACCTATTCAAATAACTTAGATTTATTAAATTTAATATATAATACAAATTATTAAAATTATGAGACACTTACCAAAGGTGTGTTATAATACAACCCAAATATCATTCTAGGCAAAAGTGGAAAGACAACATTTCTAAAGCATGCTATTTTTCCTCGAAATTTTTTCAAATCCCAAATCTTATTTGATGTGAATGCTTTGAATGCATCTTTGAAAGCGGAATCATAAGTAAAAGTCTCCCAAATAAGAATATGGTTGTCTTTAGTGAAAGTGGATGGATGTGTGGAATTGACGTGAAGTGATGCATAAAGGTTGAAGAAGTCACAAAAGTGATGGTACATATTCACAGCTGAAATTAAGACAAACATATCTTACATTTATAGTGTTCCTTTTTTTACATACACAAATATACAAATTATTATATAAACACAAAATGCAACATGCTTGTAAATTTTTGAAATACATAGCGTTTCTGATTTTATAAAAAAAAAGCACTTACTTGCATCCAATTTCATTATATATGTTGGTTTCTCAATAACAATATCACATTTCTCATCAAAGATTGGTCTATAAGGAGTTTTGATAAAATTCACCATTTCCGGAGCCCATGATTGTAGAGCACTCATATGTTCTGCTTCAGCTTTGAGCCTGTCTTCATAGTAATTACAATAACCACCTAAAAATTATAAACCACAAAATAATCACTAGAAATAGAATTTATTTTATTTTATTCCTATTTCATATCATTTTTACATTAATTATTTAACAAAATTACACAAAAAATAGAACTAGATGTGGGTTTTGAGGTGCAAAGTACTCACCAATTTGTCCTTCAGATAAAATATCCATTTTATAACGCAAGTTATCACCTCTGCCAATTAAACCTGTAAAATTCAGCATTAAATTTCTTCCTCTACAGAACCTGAAATATATTGAATGAATAATTTCATATGTATACAATTTTCTGCTTGTATTAAATTTCATTGTATTTAAAGTCTATTCATACCTTAAATATTTTGAACATTCTAATGAACTGTCATGAAGATATGATGCTTCACACATCACTTGTAGTTCTTCAATCTGATCTTTAACATAACCTGTAATTTTAATATTTAAAATAAAAAATAAACACTTTGTGTTTGCAAATATGTGATAAAAAATATTACCAAAATCTGCTTGTGTATAAAATGTGTCATACTGGGCCTTTTTTGTCTTTACCCATCCTCTGTGATCGCCAGGGCAGCGAGGCCTGACATGGTAAGAGACATTCTTATTGCATCCAGGTTCATAACCCCAACAAGATTTGTGTTCAATAATATTTTTATATACACAATTAGAATCAACTTTACAACTTTCAGCTAGGCTAGGAAATAAATTAAATATGTATCCCATATGTTCAGGTGGGACATTAATATCCTTTAGTTGTATTAAGTACACAATATTTATTGAAATAGAATAAAGTACTAAGTGTAAAGTTAAATACATCTTCACGTCCACAAATCTCTCTACTGTCAAATATATCACAACTACATATATCACAAATAGAATCACATAAAGGTTATATTAATTTATTCACAAATAAAATAATTTGAAAAAGGTTTAGTAAAACAAAAAAAAAATACTCAGTACTCCCTCCTAAAAAGTTAAAACAAAGTAGGAAAATGTTACTGTCATTTAAATGTCAATGCAAGTGCATGTTTTTAAAGATTTTATTGCACGGTTACAGTACCTTTAATCCAAGTCTTGGCGCAAAGTCTTAAATCTAAGCAGACTGTATTTTATATAAAAGCTTTTGACAAATAAGACTAAAGTTTTAAAAAATTCATTCGCTATTTACTGTATGTATAGTATTAGGGTAAACTAAAATTTCTTGTTCTTGAAATTACAAAACCAAACCTTTGTTTAAAACGAAATTCTCCCTTGAACAAAGAAAAATAGATTTAAAACAGCTAGAATGTTTTAAATTATTTTAGAACTTTCATTAGGCCAATTCAACTTGTACAGGTGATATTCTGTCTTTGTTGCCGACTGAAAACAAAAATTTCAACCAGCTGAAGAAAAACTTTATAGTTTATGGTCAAAGCATAGATCAAATTAGCATTGTTTTTAACGACAGATGTCACTGTATTCATCTATAGTTTCGCGCCTTTTCCGGAAATAAATTCCGGCGGGGGTTTCTGGTTTTGGATATACACGTGAACAGGCGTCATCCAATCAGCTGGTAAATTTTAAGACCGGCGGCGGTCATCGTTGACTTTCTTGAAGTACTTGTTTATTATTTGACTTTAATTATTATCACCGAAGATTTTTAGTGATATTACATTGTCAGAGGGTACATGAAGCTATAAAGAATTAGGTGGTTTATTTAATAGAACGTACATCATTGCAATTTCTGACCTTCAATCATATCCTAAATATGTTGTCGCCATTTTGACCAAGCAAGTTGAATTGAGATAGTTTATTTTCGTTAAATAAGTTTCTTTGAGTTGCTAATGTGAGATACGTAAATGGATATCCCTTGGGAAGATTACGAAGAAAATGTCCCAGAAACCTAGTATAGTAAAATTCCTTATACATGACGCCAATGGTTAGTAAGTAGTGATGTTAGATTTCGTGGATTTAGCATTTTATTTCGTATAATTTAAACACAAAATTTGTTATGTAGTGCTGTAACTAACCAATTTTGTCCGGTATGTAAATTAGGCGTCATGATTTGATGGGGCGTTATGGGCGCAAAGCTTCGAAATACACGTTCCACTGTTTGTTTATGTTATGGTCGTAGGTTTGATTACGATATAAACTTAACATTGTAGCCCTTTTCTTTAAAGTTAGGACAGTATTTAAAGTTTTGTTGTGAAATTTTTAGGTCAACCACAAATGGTGAAAGTAGTACAAAATTCAAACAATCAAACTACTACTGTCCCAGTTAAAGTCAAAGCAAATCCTGTGAAAATATATAAACTTCCAGCTGTTGCTGAAGGAAAAATAAATACTCAGGTTAGTTAATTACCTCTTTTTTTCGATACATATTTGTACAAGACATTACTTTGGGTCTAAGGTCTTACATGTACATTACGTTAGTACGATTTTATAAACTTTAGGTCCAGCTCAGCATAGGTTCAACACAATAACAATAATCCTTGATTAATTTTGAAATGTAGCAAATGTTTGGTGGAAAAAAAAATCTCACTATGCCTCTTCTCTTTAGAGGTTGTAAATGATGCTGTACTGAATTCCAATAAGATTTGGTGCAAAAACTTTCTAAATTAAAACTGTGCATACAGACTTCATTTATTAAGCAAGGTGGTAAAGATTTTTAGATTTTACCCGGGTAATCCAACTCTCCTAACTAACAAATGTATGAACTATAAAGTTGTATATTAATGTCTTAACATGTTTTAAAATTGGGATGTTTAATAACCTGATGTATAGTATTTATTTAATCTTTAAATAATAAATATTTTGGACACAGTATTTTCTTTTTTTATGCTTTGAGTTCTCATATGTTGAGCATTACTATATTATCAATATATGTATGTTGTGTATATACCAGTTTAATAATATGTAATACCGCAACAATTTATAGAGCAATAGTATTTTATTATAACTTATTTGGACTTATAGCTAGAGTTGTTTAGTTGAACAACAAAACTCTACAATGAAATTGAATTTTCAATTCTGTTGTCAGATTCTGTGGTAAATCTCTGAGGAATAGAAAAGAATTTCATGTTCTTATATCACAATTAGTATTTAGTTTGTATAGTAGTAGATTTTGGTTTTAGTCATTCTTGTTTCATCCTGATGAACACTAAATGATTATATAAATTAAAATTGCATTGTTTTATATAAATCTTAATTGAAAAGGGTGAACTTTGAGAAGGGCCTATGTACAACTATTACAATAGGCCTTCTATAATGATGATTGTTTGTTTTTCATCATAAGATGGAAAGCTTTAGGAATATCTTGTAGATTTCATAATATTTATCCAAGGCTCTACTAAATAGGAAGCAGTCAATACAAGTTACAAAATCAAGTTGCTGTTTGATTAGTTGTATTTATTTAGTATTTTAGTTAAAGTTTGCCTCAAGTGCAGCTTCTAGGTTCAATGTGGAGCTTTACCACTAGCATATGTTTTTGTGTATAACCAGATCATCTTTTCTGTATATAACTTGAAAGGATAGAGGGACTTTATAAACAAAATTCAGTTCTTCCAAAGGTCAATACAGTAAAAAGCTTGTGTTGTATAACAATTAATCATCAAAAGACCTTTATATTTAATTCTTAATAGGAACAATACTACAATGTAACATTTTATTAAAAAATGAAATCAATTTGGACAAAGTTTCTAAATAGATATTTATGTTTTTCATTTCAGACACCTGTCTTTTGCCCAATTAAAGTTACGTCTGGGGTAAAGTGTGCATCAAGTAAGTGTACTGTTTTGATTGTTAATGTAAATTTACCATTTTGAACACTTAGATTTAATGATATATCTAAGTCCAACAAATCTTCTATACTAGTCCTAACCAAAATATCATAGTGCCACACTATGTTGTTTGACAAGTGACAACTTTATCATCATTATCGCACACACATTAGTATTGTAGTATATGTCCATATTAAATTACCTTACCGTACCTACATACCAACTTTACCTTCAATAAGGAGTGTTTGAACAAAAGAGATTTGAATCATTGTTCCTTGTGGCTATACGTAAGGATTGGAAAAAGTTACCAGTGTCAGTTTTTCTGTCCATGTATGATGCATGAACCTTCTATAATAGAATGAATGAGCATCTAAATACTAAAATGTGTACTATCCTCACAAATCCGATGGGATTGTGTAAAAAGAGAACTTGTATGTATTTATAGAAACTGTACAACCAAAACTTTTATATTGAATATATGTCTAATGAATTCCAAACTTTGAGAACTTTTTTGTGTGTCAATAATAATGTGTCATGTGTGTTTATTGGTGGCATATGATGATAGTAATTGAATTTACTTTCAGAATTGGTGCCAGTACCTGTTGAAACATTAACACATTTACAAAAAATTGTACCTAAAACTGAACCCATAGAAGTTGAAGTAGAGGTGGAACCTAAGGTACTTTATATTCAAACTGTAATTTAACAAGAAAGTTATTATGAATATCCCATTGTCTGTTTACAAAGAGTTCTTAATCTGTCAGGATGGATATATTTGTACAGGTGTTTTGAGTAAACCGTTACTAAACTAAAAAAAAATGTAGTTAACTAAATTCTATGATTATAAACTTACTTCTTTCATTATTTCAAATGTTATTGATAGCATTGCCATCGCATTTTGAAACTATAAACATAATGCTTAAAATGAACATTCTAATTTGCAGGAACAATATCAGGAGCATTTATTGGAACAGCAAATTACACAGACAGTACCAAAATTAGTTCAAATCCTGCCTAAACCAGAATCTCCGGTCAAATCAAATAGAAAATCTAATTCATCATCTTCAATGTCTCATGCTTCTAGGAGAAGACATGATTCGGATAATGATCCTCCAGCAGAGTAGTAAGTGTTACATTTTATTTTATACAATGACAATACATTTTCTCATTATTTTTAGACATTTACTGATTGACATTTGTGTGGCATGTTTGTGTCTAAGACGGAGGAAATGAATAATAGGCAGTCATGTGTTGTAATGATTTAAATTTTTTTTGTCAGCTGTTTATACATGCTGAAAGTATATTGACTTACTCTTACAGATATACTGTGATTTGCAGCATTGTAATCTTGATTCAAATCAGCATTTCATATATTAATGATAAGTTGATAACAGAGAGGGTTGGCAATATGCTTTTGTATGAAGTTTCGGCAATTGTGACAGTGCACAAATGTAGTTAGCTAATGTGTTTATTTATATGTTTCTCAGCACAACAAAAAGACGTAAGCATGCTGATAAAGTGGGTAAAGGACTGCGACATTTTTCTATGAAAGTTTGTGAGAAGGTGAGAAACAAAGGATTCACGTCGTACAACGAAGTTGCGGACGAACTAGTGTTAGAGTTCACAGCCGGGATGCACAGCTCTGCTGACTCCCAGGTTAGTAAACAAACTATCTTCATTATCAGGTTTTAAAAAATATTCAGAAATGATTCCATATTGTTCTTTTTAATTAATTAGATTCATTATTGACTTATTCCCCTTGCTATTGTCAAATTTAAATGCCATCAAAAGAATCTCATTAGAAATAAGAATTACTAAGGTTCCTCTAAAAGTCTACATTATTACTTAAATACTTTATAAAATTCCAGCAATATGACCAGAAAAATATTCGGAGAAGAGTATATGACGCGTTAAACGTGTTAATGGCAATGAATATAATATCAAAAGAGAAGAAAGAGATAAGATGGCTGGGGCTGCCCACCAACTCAGCGCAGGAGTGTGCCGCGCTCGAGAAGGAGAAGCAGACCAAGTTGGAGCAGATACAAAGGAAAACTCAACAATTACAGGAGCTTATATTACAGGTAACACTTTTTGCTTTATTACCCAATTCACTTGGCAGATTAACGTTTTTCACGTGTATTTTTTTGTAAATATAATATGTCGATACTGATATCACCTATATAGTCGTAATCGGGTTTTTAGTTTTTTATTATTTTTTTATAAGTACAAAATACAGTTTACAATAATTATAATTGTTTTTGATTTTTGAATTACAATCAAATAGATAGGTTTCATTATTCTTCAATATTCTAATTGGATTACTGGCAGTAGCAAACTAAGTGAATAAACTTTGAAAAGGAGTTATATTGGCTATTTTTAGATTACATTTTTTTTCTTAAACAACTTGTCTACTCTTTATATTTTACTTGTTTACTTAAGAGTAGAAATTTTAATTTCACTAATATACACTATTAAACTTACACATACCATTAAAATCATTATTTTAAATATTCTAAACTTAATTTTTCAGCATATATCATTCAAAAGTCTAATAGAAAGAAATAAAGAAACAGAAAAGAAGGGTATAAAACCTTCACCATCGTCTGCCATCCATTTACCTTTCATAGTTGTAAATACAAGTGACAAAGCATTGATAGACTGTAGTATATCAAATGATAAGTAAGTAAATATTTCCTTAAATACATAAGAAGGCACACATCTAAGTTTTTGAATAAATGTCTTAACAGTGGTAGAGAGCGCTTTAACATCTTCTCACGAATCGGCCCGGCTCGCCCGCTGAAATACCACGACCACACAGAAGAGAGGCGTGAAGTGGAAGAAATTCCGCGTTTCGTCTGATGAGTGTGCGTCCTGGAGGCCTAATTTAGTCCTCTTTCCCTTCCCATCCTTTTCTTTATTAGGAAAGGATGGGAAGTGGAAGTGGACTTTCCGGATGAGAGGATGCATAGAAAGGGAAGATATTTTCTTTCTATGCATCCTCTCCCCCGTCGATTAAAGGTAGGCAACACATATGCAATTGCGTATGTCTATGGGCAACGGTCGCTCGTTTGCCATCTTTTGATACAAAAAGAAAAAACAACAGTATGATATCTAGCGGAAATCTTAAATGTTAACTTCTAATTGTTCTTTTTCAGGACAGAGTACATGTTTAATTTTAACAAAAGGTTCCAGATACATGATGATATAGATATATTAAAAAGAATGGGGCTTCTCTATGGTGAGTTTGTAAGAAAATCTAAAATTATAGTATTTTGGTGCTCAATAAGTAAAGAATCTGACTTTTGCACAATAATTATTATGAAAAAAGCACTAAGAACTTGGTATTAACTTTTACATAGCTTGCTTTTAGTATAAAAACACAAAATATCTTTTCAGGATTAGATAAAGGAGAATGTTCAGAAGAAGAATTAAGGAAAGTAAAAAATATGGTACCAAAATCATTGGAAGTTTATGTTGAACGTAAGTATTACTTTTTATCTACTAAAAGAACTGGATTAATACTTCAAAAGGTTGTAAAAATACACTATAGTCCTAGAGTTTATACAACAAATAGTAATTATTTATGTTATTTATGAGCTCTGTTGGCAACTCTTTATATAGAACCTTGTAAAAATGTTTAAAATGATCTAATTTATTTCATAATCTTTTTAGTTAGCAAAACTATTATTATTTCAGAAATGGGTAGAGCTGAAAACTGCACACTAAGTAATTTATTAGATGAAGAGGAACTTGATGATGAAAATGATGACGATGAGACACTAGAGGTGGAGGTGAAGGAGGAGCAGGAAGAGGAGGAGGAGGAGGATGGGAACGAGTATAGCGGCGACAGTAGCGACGTGGATGTGTAGCGATTCGCCTTACGCCGCGCTGCTCCCCACGTCACATCAATGTCAAATGGACAATTTGGGCGTTGAGACAGCGGTACGGCGGCGTTTAAACCTAGCAGCGATACCGCTATGTAGTTTTATAATAAAAACCGTAAATCCACACGGTGCGTTGAAACAACGTGCGTTGGTTAAACGCACAGGTGGGCAGAGAGGAATTAGAGAGGTATGCTACTTGGTCTGAGTACAAACTGTTGACAACTCTGCATTTCTTGAAGAAATGTTGAATCACAGCATATGGCACTCAGTCCATTGGTCATGTGGCATCACCATTACATCTGTAAATGTTTTGAGCATGACATGTATCATAACATACCATGTATCATGCAAAGCGCACACCAATTGATTCCTTTTACCTTTTATTTTGCCTTTTACACACTCATCAATTTAATTGTAAACAATGAGACCTTTATGTCTCTCGTTTAGTAACTTGTCATTTTGTAATGACCCATTTCATAAGCTTAGGATTATTGTTATTGAATCGGTATTGTTTATAAATAAGTTGCTTCACATATCCTTGTTTTATTTTCTGGTTTATATAAATATATGTATTCATTTATGTTTTGTTCTATTTTGATACTGTACAATTTAAATGGATCTCAAGTGCATTGTAAATTGACAGTTTATGTGAATGTTAATTGGGGTGATGTGGTTATTTCTTTACTTGTGTAAAAAGAAGTAGCCCACAGTATAATGTCAAATTATTAGTGACATTGAATGCTTATTGAAAGCATAGCAAATGGTAAATGCAATGTCATAACAATATTTTATTGTCCATTTTTAGTAAATATTATTTATAATACTGATTTGGAATTGTTTTAAAAGAGAAAATAAATGTCTCAATATGAAAAAAAAAACTTTATTTTTCCTAAATTAACAAATAAATTTTACGATCTTAAATAAAGTGTTGAGATTAAAATTCTTTTACTTCAAATCATCATCATCAAACAAATCTTCAAAGTCTGGAACAAAAGATTATTAGTAAAAAAAAAAATAATTAGATGAGGAAAAATGTTCCTTTATAGTTTAAGACAATTTTAAAAACTAGAACAGCACAATAGATAGACAACAAAAAAGAAGACCAAGATAATTTGGTTCAGAGATGAGGTAAAATACAAAGGTCAAAAACAGTAAAATACAAGGACAAGGAGGTTGCTCCTCCAAAAACACAAATTATGTCTTTTTATACTCAATTCTTCATTAGTGACAGTAGTGCCCACCTTGTTGTTAACAGGTGAGTAACTGATTTCTTTTATTATTTTAGTGCAGTGTCCATAACACTTGAACATGGACAATTTGGGTACACATTTTGTGCATACATACATACCATTGAAAAAATCTGCATGAATTGCTTTTTCGTTAGCAGCTAAGTCCATAAGGAGATTTGATGGTCCTCCTGCCTGAAAATAGAATTTTTCTGTCAAGAATTAATTATGAAAGTAATATAATCAATTCAAATTACGTTCATTATTGAGGTCTTATATTTAATTTGCGTCTATTAGCATGTTTAGATCTTCAAATACATGAAATACGATAAGACTCGCAGTTTGTTCCATGTCGTGCTGAGCTTGATGATTTTTCAATTCATGTAAGAATGACTATCAATGGAATTCTAATCTTGATTAATATATGTCCTTTACTCATTTGTCCCTATCGAACGGCTCAGCCTATCCTATACTTGGGGTTATTATTGTTAAAATATTACATACTTCTTCTAAATCCATGTACGGACCAACTCCTTCTGGAAACATTTCGTCGGCTGCTATTGTAGGCTTCATGTTTCTGGGTTAATTTAATGATAAAATCTATGCCTATAGAACGGTATAAATATTCGGTTAGTAAAACTGTTGATAAATAAGTAATTAAATTATATTATTAATAAAAAAAGATACAAGTTCGACCAAGTTTAACTGTCACTGTCATTCATGCACTATGTTGTCAAATGCCGTTCTGTAAAAAATACAAAGTTGGTTCAAGGAACGTTCAAGTTAATGCAACTTGTTGACAAACATTCACACGGCCAATGTGTTTTTAACTTAACCCCAAAATCCGATGGATCTTAATTTTCTCCTTACATTTTAGTGATAAATCTCTTTACAACATAAAGAATTAGCGAATGCTTATAAAACATTTTTACGAACATTGTCCACCAATATACGCTTTGATTGCTATAATGTGTATTATATTGGCAATGCTGAGGTGTCATTGTCATTTTACCAAATTTGATTGAAAAAGACAAGGCTGTATGGCTTAGTTCCTTTGCCTGCTCTTTCGAGTGAATAATAAAAACAACAACAACCAAATTTGATTGACAAGTGACACTAAAATTTGACTTTGACAGCATGAATGACGGGGATGTCAGGAACAAATTGATAAGATTTCCATGAGAGTACAATTTTCAAAAAACAATTTAATTCCTTACCTAAAATGTTAACATATGACAATAAAATTATTCTTGCACCAATGGTACGCATTGGAACTCTTCCTATGAGACTTTTAGCGCTGCGATATGGTGCAGATATAGTGTATACAGAGGAGTTAATAGACTGGAAGTTTTTGCGATCAAAGCGAAGATATAATGGTAAAATCCCGTTTCATATATATAAATAGATAATCTCCAATGATTATCAAAACTTTAAAAAAGCAGTGTTATACATATATTTCAGGGGTATGCTAATAATCTAGCCATGGTGGCTTTTAGGTTATGAGTTATGATGTCTTTCATGTTGTCAACACTAAATGGAGTTTAAAAATATTTGATTATTATGTGATAGCGAATAGTATTAAGTTCATAATGCGTTATGAAGTTTTAAGAATTTGATGATAAATTGCAGATATATTGAAGACTGTAGACTACATAGATCAATCAGATGGCACTGTAGTGTTCCGCACATGTGATGAAGAGAAAGACAAGGTTGTACTGCAACTTGGCACTTGTGATGCTGAAAGAGCCCTGAAAGTTGCCAAAATGGTGTAAGTTTTATTCAACCTTGAGAACTTATAAGTGACCCACTATTAAAAGAAAAAATTTATGTCATAACAATAAGATGGTGAAATAATATTATATTTCTGCATATCTCAGACAATAACAAAATTATTTGTAACTATTTTTAAACTGTTTCTTCTAGTTCTGTATTAATCTATTGAATTAAAAGTTATTTAAATTATTTATTTCTTGCAGAGAAAATGATGTTGCTGCTATTGACATCAATATGGGATGCCCAAAAGAATTTTCTATAAAAGGTGGAATGGGTGTTGCTCTTTTAGAGCAAACCGATAAAGCATATGGAATATTGAAAACATTGGTAACTAATCTTTCTATACCAGTTACTTGTAAAATAAGAATATTTCAAACACCTGAAGAAACTTATAGTGTGGTAGAAAAACTCGTTAGTTCCGGAATTAAGGCAATTGCGATTCATGGTAGGACACGGACAGAGCGTCCACAACATGCAGTCCATACTGATGTTATTCGGTTTATAGCTGAGAGAATATCAATACCTGTCATTGCAAAGTAAGTAAACAGAGGATTTGTGGAGGATTTACGTAGCACTGTATGTATAAAATCATATACAGTATAAAATGTTTCATTTAATATTGCTTACAAATACATATTGGTTAAGACATTTAAAACAGTAGATCCATTTAACAGTCTTATAAAAATAATATGACTAATATGTGAAAGTTATTGCATTATCTTATGGGTATTCTTTAACATTTTATTTTCTTAATCATTTAGTTATCATCGACATCTTTCATCGAGCATCATTAATGCAATGTAATTTATTAGTTAGTAAATGGTTTAATATATTGTTAAATGTACTACATAAATGATTAATTTTCAGTGGAGGTTCTAAAGAAATAGAAAAGTACACAGACATTTTTAAATTTAAGGAAATGACAGGTTGTTCAAGTGTTATGCTTGCACGGGCGGCTGAATGGAACTGCTCCATATTTAGAAAAGAAGGTCTTTTACCCATGGACACTGTTATTAAAGAATATCTTAAACTTGCAGTTGAATATGATAATTCCCCTTCAAATACAAAGTATTGTGTGCAAAATATATTGAGAGATTTGCAAGAGACACCTAGAGGTCGAAAGTTTTTAGAATGCCAAACAATGGACCAAATATGGTATGTTTTCTGCATGTAGTAATAATTTTTAAAAATTTAACTATTTATTATCCTTCTATTATTGAAAGTTATAAAACATAAATTCGACTACTAACAAATAGAAATAACAATGAAATCACATTTTTTATGACATTCACAAAGTATAGTTTTTTTTATATTCAGTGCCATTTGGGATTTAGAAGATTATTGTCAGGAAAAACAATCAAACTATCACAAGTTGGGAATACAAGGCAGATGGCAGGTCACCCCAAGTGAATTAGAGCCACCATACAAAAAGCAGAAGTCAGATGAAGTATGTTTAGATGATGTAACTCAAATGAAGGTAAAATGTTTATTAATTTTAATCTGTAAAAACAGATTATACTACATTAAGTCACTGCTTGGAGCCATTGTATTTTTTTTTATTTCAGGTATGCTTTATTCGCGCAAACTTTAATGATCTCAACCTGCCTAAATCACAGTTACATACATGGGCTGGTAAAAAATCCTACAAACTACCTATATACGAGACTCAACAAATTGAAAAATTGTTTCGCACAATAATAACATTTAATGGTAAAAAGTACACATCCACATTTTGGGAGAAAAATAAGAAGTTTGCAGAACAAGGAGCAGCACTAGTTTGTTTATACCACATAGGGGTACTTACTGAGGAAGATTTGATCAAGTTTGGTAGTATAATAAAATAAAAGTATTGACATATTTTTTTTTTCACACATTTCCTTCCAACAAATTCTTGATGATTACATTATGTTTCCGTTCGGATTTTGGCCAGATTATCCGCAAGATTCACGTGTAGCTCATCTAATTTTGAAATCATATCTTTGTGTTTTAATACATCAGCTTTTAATGATTTAAAATAACTATAACATGAGTACAAGTCTTGCAAAGATTTGTCGGCTTCTGTGAACTTCAACGGTTGTTCTTGTTTAATAACATTCGGATCTGATAAATCCTCTAATATACATTGTGGAGCAGGCAAATTGGGAATTGTCAATTTGGTATTCTCCATTGTTAGAATTCACTTGTAACTATGACTTTAAAGAAAACCAGACAGCTGAGCTGACATATGATAGATGACTGACACTGACAACAAGGCAGTGCTGCCAATATAAAATTTTACCATCTTCATGTCATAAAACAATCACTTTTTTATTTTTAAGGTACCGAGTACGTCATTGTTAATCAATGACTACATAATTTTATTTATTTTTCACTCCGATGCTATAAACCCACTAGGGTTTAGTTAGATTTAATGCCAGTTTTTTTGATATTGGTAGCCCTACACATTTAAAGTGTTACCAGTTAGCAAAAATTTCCTAACTTCTTCCAAAAGTCGTTCATGTTGCAACTCCAACCAATTATTTCGAAACTTATGACCTGAGTTCTCGTTGTAATTCCTTACTATTTAAATATGGGACCTCAAAACTTATTAGCAAATTAACCTTCGTGTCATGTCATGCATAATATTTTTATTCGATTTCGAAATTATGAAAATGACATTAAAACATTAAAACACGCATCTGCAGCTCCTCATTCAATCCTCATTGGTCAAAATATGAAGGTGTCAAGATGACATTATAAGATCACATATGTTCCGATTGGCACAAGATCCTTGAGGAACTATATTTCTGGAATGATGTAGGTACAAAGTCGAACATTTTAAAAATTAATTTATTCTACATAAAAAAATACTATATATTTTTGAACACGGCAATTGCCTTGGCATTGGCAACGTGAAGTAAAAACCAGTATTCTGTCCATGATAAAAATCGACACAGTTTGATATCATCGATATGTTATATTACATCGATTCGGAATTAACGAAAAATAATTGTTCCAATACCCTATATCTGGACTTATCAGAGGGGCAGTGACATATTTGCCTTTTACGTATACAAACTTAACATGCTCAATGAAAGTAACATTACATTTAATTTATCAATACAAAGGACACCCTATTATAGGGTGTATTTTGTATTGATTTTGAAAATACAAATAATTACGAAGATTGAAGACGTCTATCTTTAACAATACTTCCAAAATAATACCAACGAAATTAATTATTAACAAAAGAACAAATGGTTTTGTTTCAATCTCGGGCATTTTGTGACTATCCTTTAGGTGACGATAGTTACTAGATTCTGTATAAACCTTTACCTGTCTTGTTTCTTTTGGACTTTTTTCTACATCAATTTTGACAACGAACAATTTAAGAGAACTATGCAAATATTTTTTTCCCATTTGATGACAGATTTATAATGGAATTTAAAAATGTTGTGTTATAAGTTTATTCCTGAATTTTATGGAATGTTTTGTTTTATTCTAAAGCGAACGAGTACACGGTATCATGTTGAAGGAGGATATGGTCGCGGTCGGCGCAGGAAACCGCAAACTATCCACCTAAATAGCTCCGATACGCCAGAACACCGGGCCCGATACCTTGTTTTTACTTTTTATATATGTTGTTCCGAAATTATTGTTGAATGTCGAAACACAAGTATTTTTATAGCAACATGTCCTAAGAAACTAATCATTAAAAAAAAATCTAATCATAAGTTACTGACTATTCGAATATCATGATCATAAGGATGAAGTAATCATCGACCGATCTTTGTTGTGATTTAAAAGGGTGGCATTACTGTTTGCTGATGATAATGAAGAATCACCAGCTTAAAGAAATATAAAAAAATCCTTTTTTTTATATAGCTTAACTAATAGCAGTACAGCATAAAAAATCAGATGCGTTTTTTTGTATATAAGAAATTAGGACATGCACATTTATGTTGTCAGGATTTCATTATTCTCTGTTTGTAAAGAAATAGTTTAGATATATAATAAATACGAATATTTTTTGTACAAAACGTGAATATGGTAGCAAGTTTTATAATTTTTATAAAGCAAAGCGTCTAAGTCCGCTGTCAGCAGCGAGAGGCAGCGCGCGTGTGGTCTCCGATATTTCCACACATCACGCTCTGCTGCCGCGTGATCAACCAACCTGTATCGAATTACAATCAAATCATATCAACTTCATATCTTTCGCTGGCTTCATTGACTCTCGATAATATTACCTACATTATATGTTGACTTGCGTCCCTTCCACTGGGAAGATGGAAATGTGGCAAATATACACTGGAGACTACTTAAGCAAATAAATAACCATTTAGCGTGGTTTTTTGACAATAAAATAGCCTTTTAAAACATATTGTCGATACATGGATGACGATATGTTTTATACAGAGATTTTGGTCTCAGAAACCAACAATAAGTGCAGCGGTATTTTATAATACTCTGAAGGATAGACGTATTAATCTTCACCCTTTGGAACTCTACTTTACAACAGTTTTTGCTTTTTTTTTAACAGTGGTAGAGCCCGCTTTAACATCTTCGCACGAATCGGCCCGGCTCGCCCGGTGAAATACCACGACCATACAGAAGACAGGCGTGAAGTGGAAGCAATTCCGCGTTTCGTCTGATGAATGTGCGTCCCGGAGGCCAAAATTAGTCCTGTTTCCCTTCCCATCCTATTTCTTATAAGGAAAGGATGGGAAGTGGAAGTGGACTTTCCGGATGAGAGGATGCATGGAAAGGGGAAACATTTTCTTTCTGTGCATCCTCTCCTCCGTCGATTAAAGGTAGGCAACGCATATTCAACTGCGTATGTCTATGGGCAACGGTCACTTCGCTATTTCAGCGATTTCAGGTGGCCGCTCGCTCGTTTGCCACCTTGTGATATAAAAAAAATATATAAAAAACAAACTTATAGTAAACCAAAAAGAATTGGTCAGTGGTGAAACCATCACTTTTTGAGAGACTTCATAATGAGTTTTTTGATTTACTACCTTCGTTATTGTAAGAATGTCCGTATGTCGAAGTGAAACCGCGAAATTACAAAACCACGCGTCGCTTTCCTTTGGATGCAAACCACAAAATTTTCTTCGCTGTGCCCGCATCATATAAAACTTAATTATTGAGCATTATTTAGACTGACAATAGAATGAGTGTGGCTTCAGTTATGTGTTAAATGCTCATCTTAAAAGTGACCATAAAATGAAAGTAGGTATCTGCCGTTGATATGGAAAAAGTCCCATGTGTAGTGTGATTTAAAGCCAATATAAACACCAAGCTCCTTAAACCGAAATACAGTTTAAATTGCAATAATAAATTAAACAAACCTAGAAATTCGATTAACTTTATATAAAACTCCGCGCAGAATAATACCAAATGCGCACAGTTCAAAATATTATACATTTAGGTAGTAGTAGGCAGTTGCAAAGAAAAGTCTAAACATGGTATTTACATATCGCCAAAAAATACCGCGCCTCTACCGATACTGGCACACACTTTTATATATTGATTAATTCCTCTCTATGAAAACTACCCTCACTATAAAATTGAAAGAACTCGTAAACCGACGCGATAGATGAAAATTAAAATTTCGGCGTCGTTACGGGCGCTATAACATTTTTGGTTTCTTTGATATACTACCAATTCAGTTAAATTACATAATGTTATTATTATGTATCGTACCAACCCGGCTATAAACTTTTGCAACTTTAATTCGCTTTATCCCTCTTACTTAAACTTAAAGGCAACGATAATAATATTATTTAAATCACATCTCACGTTTATTTTAAACAATAAGTTTTATTGACGTGTTGCAGTGACAATGGCGTGTCACGATGTGTCACCCTGTTTTGTGTTGCATATTTAAATAGTTGACAAGCAACGCGACACTCGAATACTATTCCATTTGAATTGTACTTTTGACAATTCAATGAAGGACTCTTTACAACGCAATCTGCAGCATCTCATTACGAATGGGGTCAGGATGCCGCATTAAAAACTGTATTGATTCAATATTTTGGCGGAACTGTAAGCGATAAAGCGACAATTCACAATTTTAAAGATCATATCTATTGTCATCGAATAATAATTAATATTTGGAATCCTTTAATTAAGCTCATTGGATTTCCTGCTCACGTGTAAGCTCAGTTAGACATAAAGTAATTGTAGTACGTTATAATTAAGTTAAAAAAATATAGAATGTAAATCTCTAGGAACATAGTTGCAAAACAAAAATATCACTTTGTCAATAGAATCTGTTAAAATAGCTTTGTATTGAATGGCTACAGGATACCTAATAATTTAAATCGACATTATTATTCAAATACTTACCCACTTCAAAACTATTTAATTAATATTCAATGGTAATCGACTGTTAATTGTGTAAATCTATTTAAAGATGAGGAACTCAAATCCTGTTGAGCAGTGCAAGGCCGGGACGCGTGCCCGTCCATAATCAGTAGGTAAGATCTCGTAAATAAATTGTGAGCTTTGTATAGAAAAACAAAAGGGGGTTAAGTTATTAGGGCGGCAGAGGGCACGCGTGTCGCGGAGCGCGGGTGGCCGCTCGATCTTTCCTACTGACGCTTAATAAATTGCTTTCGGAGACAGATGATGTCTACAAGGAATGTTGTTTTTGTTAGTTCTCAGTTTAACTGGATTTGAAATATTTTACATGTGTCCTTCGAAGATAATGGTCAGTCACGTCTTTAATTGACGATGTTTCAAGTCCAAATATTGTCAGTTTCTACAGACTTAAAATTAAATCCTTTATTACTAATAGAAATATCATGACATAAATTGTTAAGTAACTAAACCAATTACAAGTTACAATGTCAACAATTAGAATACG